GATGAGACATAAAAGTGGGAAGCAGACAGAAAGGGAAAAAGCAGACAATAGTTAAACAGTTGTGTTCTAGCAGAAATAAGACTGCGATTGATTAGTGATGCTGATTGAAGGAGCTGCTGAGGCAGTTTCTTTATGGTGGCCCCACACTTGGTGCACTGGCTGCATTCGTAGCATTCGGGGGGAGGGGTAGGAGAGGTACAGGTGACTGTTTCGATTCTTAATCACGCCCATCCTCGATCACCAATACCGTAAAAACTTCACAATTCTCCAAGATTTTCCCATGCACGCTATTCTTACACTGTCTACAACCGTTGGGGTAACTTGCAGAAACTATCTCATCTTGCTCTCTTCTGAATAGTAAATACAATCCAAGTAACGATTTTTCTAGATTCTACTAAAGATTGCAATGAAATTATTTTTGGGTATGCACTATTTCCATCTTGCTGTGCGCCTAATTCTGTTATGACGCGGACGGATGGGTTCGGAGAGCGGATGACGAAGGGGCGTTTAAGTCCAACGATATCTCTTCCTCTTCCTCTGTCTGCTTTCTCGCCATAGACAATGAGTTTCTGTGAAAGTAACATCCGCCAAAAGAACACATGTTATAATATAGATTGTCTTCATTTCGAGTGCTTGTCAATTCACAGTAGTCCTCTCTCTTTTCCCCTATTACGTTAAGGCTTATTCCTAGGTTGCTCACACTGGTGATAACATCTAAATACTAAAAAATTACGGTAATCACCCAAATGGGATTAGAATGCATCGGGCATTTGGCTTTAATTAGGAGTCGTAGTAGTACTCAAAGTGTATGTGACCTATCCATTGACTTGAGGAGGCCAACCATTTTTGTCATTTCCGGCCTAGATGATGGTAAGTAGTCAGCCCAGACAAAAAGATTTGCTGCGAATTCTGCTTTATTCTTTTTACGTGGGTATTTGTGTCAATTCGTGTTTCTTTATTTCAAAGTCCGCTACTACCCAACCTAAGCTTGCTAGGCTCATGACCATGAATGACGTTATTTTCCACTTTCCTTCTGATTTTCCCCGTTTTCGACCTGAGAAAGTGGAGCGAAGCTTTCAACATGAAGGTTAGAGAGGAATCCATTCCACTGGGGAAAAATGAATACTCCAATTTGTAGAGTGATGTACATTTTTTGCTTTATTCTCGCTTCCTTCTGCCATCTCATGGTACTTGCCTTATTAAAGTTAGCCTGGCATTTTTCTTATTCCTTTCATTATATCCATATTAATTTCGTCAGAGCAGTGTCTATAGTTCATTGCAGGGAAGTGCATAGTCTAATTATAGACGAAATCCACTTTGTGATAACGCACATATGCCTTTTGCTGTTGGTTAAACAAAGCTATTCGATTATACACCCGAGTATTTTAGTACTACTGACGCGAAGCAACTGATTGTAAAAAAGCTGTGTGTACAGTGCTAGTAAGCTATATTATATGAGCTATAATGCACGCTGTTAGCGCACTTTAATCATGAGAGATAATGAATTAAACATCATTAGCCTTTTTAAGCCATTGCGGCTCAATAGCTTCTGGGTTGACTCCTGTCTCATCGATCTTTTCCGGACGCTGTACCCTCTGAAGGCGAGGGGGCTGGAAGGCACTGGAGTTCACAGCAAAGATTGTTACCGTTGTAATCATTTCTTCTTCGACTTTCTTGCCAACACTCATTTTGAACTATGTTGAACCTGTCAAAGCCCTTTGATGCCACGGTCTAATCATGGACTAAGAAGCTCCCTTTAGAAATTCAGCATGGACAGAATGAACATGACTAGTAGACGGCACGAACATCCATTGCCGGATGATCTGTCAGGACAAAGTTCACCAGTCAAGAGCAAAGGCGAGGGGAGAGTTGGCGATCGACTAAGCATTTAATTTCCGTTCAGCTCTCACCACACAAAGGGGCTTGCAGGAACCAAAGCAGTTCTCGTTCTGTCTAGAACTGCTCTATTGCTTTACATCTGTTTAATATGGAGGTTGCACTCATTTTATTGGGTGCGAGTTCGTGCCGAAATTACAGGAGATTGTCCCTTAAAAGATGCCACGCCCTTGAATTTCATTAGGCATTGTTAAGGTACTTCCAATAACCTATTTGAAAAGCCGCTTCAATGTATAATACATACACTGACCCCTCAAGTCATTGCTCAAGGATGTATCCAAATGTGTGATGGTTTTGAATGAATGGCTAGTGTGTGGGGATTCCCAAATTTGATTAATCTGCGCCGAACGATTGCTTTTTGCTTTTGTTTACCTTTCGTATCCATTCCGAAAGTGATGCCTCATTGTGGTCATACTATGCCGATTCCCGGTGAATTAAACAAAAGGCTGAAAAACCTCAGGCCTCAAGTGCTTAACTACCTGGTATTATTATAAATTGCAAATTTTCGCCTAACTCCATATTTGTACAGCATCCTGCCAACAAATAGTATTTGATGACGATGCGTACTTCTGAAGTCATACGATCCCTTTGAGTTGCGTATTCTAATCGAGGGTGCCGTGGTGTTACCCATATTTATCTTGATATCATCTCTCCAAACCATTCTGTCGTTAATTTATCAAATTTACTAGAGGTTTACTTGCAACTATTCAGATAGCAACAATTTCAGCATCTAACTAGTAGTCGTGAGTTTCAAGCTCCTTCATTCCACAGGTACAGCAATTGTATCAATAGTATGTATGTAGTCTCGCATACCAGTCGAAAATCTATAAGCAGCATCTCCAGCGGTTTAGTTGTGATTCCAACATGCAGCTGGCAACCATATTCTGTGAGGTCTTCGTCATGCATTGTAGCTTTCTCCACCCAAAAGCTGAAAAACCGCATCTTCAGTGGTTTTTCGGGAGATTTTTGCCTGATGCAATTAAGAAGAAAGCAGCGACAACAAACAACACGCAACAAATACGTCGATAATTCGTACACTAATAAAATTAAATGTTTGGCATTCATTGAAATTGCTCTGTCGCTAGTCGTTGAGGTTAAAACGTAAGAGAAACACGTAGTTCAAATGACTGGTTGCCAACATCGCGGTATTTTCCCTTTCTCCATGTCTTCTTTACGTTTATTAGAACGTCATTGCCAGTAGCCTTGTTTTTATGTCATACAATTATAGTCGTGATAGTGTTGTATAACGGAAAATTAGTTCGGCGATTTAATATCTCAACTACGAGATTGTGGGCGTGGCCCTATCGCCGTCGCCAACACCATCACCGACGCCACAACTACCACTCACAAACACCAACGACTAACATTCGATGTATTTAGCGCGGTTTGAACGTCATTTAACCACCAAAAGTTCCCACACGTAGACCTCACTGGGCTCCATCTCGTCTCTTGGGTGGTATGCTTGCACTCGAAAAAAAAAACAACACGATAACGAGTGGAAAGGCGTAAAGGCTTCTTCGTTCGCAATGAAATGATTGATTTTTACATTGGTCAGTTAGCTTAGTATCAAAACGGGTCACCTTGGAGAGAAGTTTGAATCACTGAGTCCATTCTCCTCTCGTAATACTGCTTTTGACTGTATAGAACGTCGTTTTCTGGATAATTTTAAAGTTCAGCATGACTCCGTCCAGCTTTACAATGATCTATGTAGTTGGATCCAATCCCATTCGAAACTTGAGGTGGTGCATTCAAATCTGTTATGACTATTGAGGTTTTTTATTCACTTTCAGTTATTTATTCAGGCCGCTTCTTGTGTTAAGTTCAAGCTTTGTTCTTTGGCTATATTACTTCTCAGATTCGCTCAATGAGGCAATGCTGTTGTGTAGTTTTCTATGAACGTCGTAAACATTGTTATCATGAAAACCCCGACGCTAAAACACCATTTTCAAAATTATTTGCCGGAATCGAGCTTGAGAAAATCTCATTCGGGTAGCTTCAAGGTTAGCTCGTCTTCTCTGGCACTAGATCCATTTTAATCTTATGGCAATCAACTTCTACTTGATTTCTATTTGTAATAGACGTTTGTTGTAGTTTCGGCACTTTTCATTCCAAATTGAATTGTGGTCAAAGGCTAGCTATTTTTGTCAACGCATGTTCGCAAGAACTTTCTGTTCTTTTGTTCCTTTGCCTGCGCCGTTGCGAGTAGCATACGCCTATGTATAGTCTTGTAGTCTTTAATCGAACTGAGCTCAGTTACTCCATAACTTCGAACGATTTATAACTCGACCATTCTCGAATAGCTTGATTCATCTCACTCTAACACCTTAAAATCACGCTTTAGAATCACGAGTTTAACTATTGCCGATGGAATACTATCGGATAATATTTCGGGGTATCGAAAGTCCTGCTCATAGATGATTCAAAAGAAACATTTTTGAATTGTGCTAAGTAAGACACTTGCGGATCAGAAATTTTGAACGGAAATAGGTCGATTTCTTGAGAAATTGGAATTGTACAACAAACATCATTTTAGCTGTGTGTTATCGGACCTTCTTCCTTAGGATAGTAGTTTTTTTGAGTTCATACCTTCTGTCGTGTTTTCGAATGATACCTGAGGGCTCAAACACAGTCTCTCGCTTACCAAAAGTATATTTTCTTTAATGTGGCACTAACAAAATGAATGACTGGAAAGAAGCCGAATCCTGGCTGAACCTCTGCTTGTACAACCTTCCCAAGGCCGACCCTATTCGGTCGTCCTAAGAGACCATTGGAAACTCTGGGTGTTGCGTTAGTCTGTGACCTCCTAATGCTCGGAGTTTGAGTGAAATATGGTTCAAATGAATTACTCGGCAGTTCCTATTAATGATAAAGAAAAAAGATTGCTTTTTTAGCAAGTGGAGCTTAATCCTGACAACTTTGCTGTAAATCTGCGTAGTATATCGACACATGCAGCTGTTTCTTTAGCGTTCATGTTGGCTTTGCATTTAAAACGACTATCATTTATTACGCGTTTTGTTTGGTTGGGTTCCTTCTTTGTGATCCTTTTTTTGCGCGTCTCGGCAATTTTCCGAAATTCTAGATTTATTATTGACTGTGTTTTGCAGAAGACGAATGTCGGTGGTAAGGGCTGAGATTTCGACATGTTATGCATTATCACTTCGAAATGAATCAATTAACGACAAGTATGCATTCTTTAACTCAAATCAACCGTTATAATGTGACTTCTTGCTGATTGAAGTCGTACATATGCAATTGTATTCTTTCTATATTTCAGTGGTTGTTCTGTTAGCTTCGATAAATCGTTATGTTGGCTGAAAGCCGATTACGGTGCGAAAGTGGAGCGATTGTGTCCTTTTACATACTGCCCTACAGTTAGTGGATGTGAACAAGTAGCAAGTAAGCACATCGATTTTTTCGCGTGGTTCTAAACGACTTGCTCTTTTTCGACTGTTGTTAGCTGGGATTGGATTGATAGCCGAGCACTTCGCAGCTTAAGATAATGCGAATGTAGAATAGGCAGCATGTCATGGGGAGACGTCACTCTAGAACACTTTTGGAAACTTCTCGGAAAATATGCAAACCGACGGCCCGATTTGTGTGGCAGGGATGGCTGATGAAGGAGGCATGTGGATTGCCGAATCTATTCACTCATCCGTAAACAATTGCCATGTAATCGAGTGGCCCTCAGAGAAAAATCAATTTTCCTTGGGAAACCACAAGCCGCGGCAACTCGATGACGTACTGTCATAGAGGGCTTACTGTTAATGTTTGACAAGTAGGTTTCTCTGTTCAAAACTGCTTTCTTTTCAGATTTGGTGAGATTAGGTATGTCCTGGAGTACCTTTTATGCACATCCATTACTCTGTTTTTTCAGCCGTCGTTCGTGTTTTGGGCCTTCCATACTTGAAGTGATAATCCTAAAATGGCGTCCATACACCTTCATCTCCCGTGTAAAAACAAGAAACAAGTGCTCAATAATTCCGTATTTGAGCCTGGATTTAGCGCTGAAACGTTTCAGAGGACGTTGAAGGCCTTTACGTCCCAGAAAGTTTTACGAAACTAATCGTTTCCAATGGCGAATCACTCTTTTCCAGAAACTCATTAAATTCCTTGATTGTTTGGAAATGATTTCGGGAAATTTTCGGCAACTGCTATGAACTTTCCACGGTCCTATTTCCGTTCCTGAAGTTTTTTGGATTGCCTGCACGTTGATAGCCCTCTGTTCTGCCTTGATAGGATTTCCTTTTTTGCAACCGCTGACCTTTAGATTATTGATTTTTTCCTTTTCACATAAGGAAATCATAGGTCGACAATCGATAGCCTGCAAACAAGCCTCCGTGACAATGCAACTCCACTAGTGTTCTGTTTAATGCAAAACTTTCCTGCTTAGCAGCTCTTCCAAGAATTTCTAGTAAAGAGTGGCCTCAATGAGGATCTATGTCATTTCCACTGTCCACTAGATCCTGATGAGATGTCAAAGGCGAAGACTACCGAGTTTACCCTCGGAACTGTCTTTTTTTTTGTAAATTTATAATCCCCAGAGGAATCTATCCGATAGGTCTGTCCCTATCTCAAAACTTCGGTTGGAGCACAGATCTGCACTAGTGCATTATATTATTCAGAGGAGCCACTTATGATGTCGGCTGAGCTCGTTGATTCACTACGAAGTCGCACTGCAATCCTCTGTGAAGACATTCTATTCTGCGACAAACGCAGCGGTGGTGGAAAGTTAAACGGAGAGACACCAGGATCGGGGAGAAGGCTTTACGAACCCTCAGCTCGCAACATATATCGAATTGGAGTCCAGTGGTGCTCCCTGGAGTATAGTTGTGCTAAATATGTTCACAGAGTTGGCATATCGCGGAATGCAAACTGCCTTCACTGGGCATGTCCTGCTGTCGGGTCGGCATTCCAAACTCGTTATCGGCGGCTTTCTCTAGTCAAACGGGGCCATTTTCGGGATCTGGATACTCATAGTCAAATAAATAAAAGTGAGAAACGTCAGAGCTCTCCAGGGAAAGGTTGACTTTTCTTTGAAATCTATTTGGGGTCGTTGAAAAGCACTGCTGTTCATAGGGTAACGTCATAATGACTCCAATTTCAATAATGTTGATATGCTTCTAATTGAATATTATTCAGATAGTCATATGGTTACTAGAGTTTGTGGTGTAACTGGAGAATGGCATGATTCTAATTACACTCAATGTATAACGGTTCTTGATGAGTATCAACACTGCATACAAGGATTTTGCCGTTTGGTAGGTCTTTTTCTGCATCCACATCGGCGTGTATGAACGATTTATCTTTATGAATGTTTTTCTATAATATCTGTAGGCATTCCATTAATATTAAGAACCTTTTAAATGAAAATGGTAAAAGGACTCGTGTCAAAAGAATCAATCATACCGTTGTGAATGCCAGATTTCCCTTCGCATAACTGATCGACAAAATTTATTTAGTCGTTAAGAAAAAACCACTACGACATGAAATATGAAAACCTTCATCATGGGATGTGTCTCAGTGATCATGTGCATTGGTAAATACCCGGAAAAAACCATTTTCAGGATTTCATGGTCTTAATTAGTAGTTTCTTCCCTGTCTTTGTTAGTTTGTTCCAATTATTCATATTGTGAATGTCCGAAGAATAATTCATGTGTTCCTTTTCCTCTAAGTTTTGTAGTCTCTATCCTATTTTTTTATATTTAGTATGAAGAGTAGCAAGTGGTAATGCGCATAAACAGTCAGAACTAGTGATCGGAAACGATGTCTTCGGATTTTCGGGGCCTCGTGCCAATCGGTATTTCATGATTTAGTCCCAATTCTGAAATAGTGCAGATGGGGGAAGAGGTATCATGCTTTTTTCTACATTATTCGAGCTTCTTGACATTTCCCTTTTTCCACTTAGCGAGCGCTTATTTTACAGAGTCCTTTACTTCTTTAGCACCTGTCTCAAGAATTCTTGATTCAGTTAGCAATTTCTGCTATTCGCTCTTAAACGGCACTTTGGCCTCTGAATAGCCACTTTTTCTTGTATACGTATTTCATACGTTATTTCCCAGTTCTCAGAAGGAATGAAAGAAACGGTGGTTGAGTTCCAACTTCAGTTTAGATGACTGAGTCTCTTTACGTGATACGGCATGGCCTGCATTACATTTTTTGGACTTTTAAAGGAGATTGATGCAATGCAGGGATATTTGCATCGCCTTTAAATCTTAAACCAATAGTTTACTGAAACGGAGAAATAACCTATGGCACTTTTTAACTTCTTCTCTGAAAGTGAAACGTATTTATCAGAGGTTTCAGGCTCCACAGAACGGAACACCAGACAAAGAATATTTCAATAGTGATGCTGTTTTCCCAATTACATAGAGTTGGCTGCACGGTTTCCGATATATTTTAGAAACTACAGTAGTAAAAACTTCAATCGCTTGTAATTACAATGCTCACGATGAAAGGCTTTCTTAGTCATGTAATTGACTACTAGTACCTTTTGCTCGTAGTTCTGCGGGGAAAGGCAGTCTCATGGTTCATCGAACATGGTGCTATCTAGCAAAATCTTTTGTCATGTATACTAGCAGAAAGAACGGCAGAAAGTTGGATTAAAACTGGCCTTTCATGAGGGAGCCAAACACGAAAACCGAAACGAATGAGAATGAAAAGCTGACCCGCGTAAACTTTCGTCATTACAGAATTGTTTATTATTGCTGTAGCATTACAGTATATTACATTGTAATAACTTCGTGTGATACTTAGTGTACTCCTCAAAATTACACTCGATGTGTGAAATTTTTAATGCGTGCTGAAACATTTATGCATTGATTGCAGCGGGATAACTCAAAACTGACCAAAGACACACAATTCACAAATCATTTCTACCTTTGTCCTATTTATTTATCTCTTGTGATTGTTTTCTTAATTTTATACAGCGAACACTCGAAATTTTTCCTAATCATGGCCTTTAGTACATGACTCTGCCAATCATTTGCAACCCTGAACAACGAACGGCACAGAAGCATCGGATAAAACTTGATGAAAATTTTTATAGCATTCAATTTTGGTGGATTTTGACATAAAGACTATGAAATGAAGACGACTTGCACTATTGAGCCTAAAGGAAATTGGCGAGAATCAGATACTCTTCGCTAAAGACTGGCTTCATTTGGTAGTCCTTGGGGAACTAATTACTTATTGCTTGATAGTCAAGCTTGCTCTAGTGCAACTTCTAAACGCCACAGCACATCTCTCTCAAAAAAATTTAATAATCGATCGCACTGCTGTTTTAATTGCTATGATAACAATGCGCTTTGTTGAGTTGTGATTGAGTAGGGTAGCGTTAATGGCACAATCCAATAATTTTGGGATTTATAATTTTAGACAAGTAATGAGAGTGATATTTCATAATAGCGCAAAATGGCGAAAAAATAAACGCGAAATATTTAGAGTAGTATTAGGCTTCCAAAGAGCAGTAAAATTAGGGTTGCAGGGAATGTGACGACAAAAGTTGCAGGAAAGGGTTATTCGGACAAGTTGTCCAAATGAGTGCGCCAGTGCATACGGCTGGCTACAGTAAGCTGCCTGCGTGCAGCGCGTGCATTCCGATGCGAATGATGTAACATCTACCGGCTCTACAACGGCGTGAGAACTCCTCACTTTGGGTGTGTAGGTTGGCTAGTCCGGTTTTAGAGCCCTTATTTTGTCCTACATAAGCCGTTTTCGACAGACACCGTCCCTTGTGCAATCTTTGAGAGACACTGGCTCACATTAGGGAGAAATCTCAGAGGCTATTTTTATCGTGAACCAGCAAAAATCTGGGGATTTTTCGTTGACTTTAAATGAAAAATATGTATCCCATTAGAGCCGCTTTCGACCTTGTCTATGTCAGTGAACAAGTATTAGACTGGCAAGGGGGATGCTCTGTTAAATAGCTGCTATTTCGAACTTTCATGCCATCAATTTTCTGCAGTAGCTGTTTTCGCTCACGGAACAATATCTCGGAGATGTTCGTGTTCCCTGAAATTACTTTCAGGCACTTTCAGACAGAAAATAAGAAGACATGTTTTGTAATGCCATCGATTTTCTCTACTATTAGCTCGAATACTTGCAAAAAGTAGCAGCTGAGTCCGTAATTATTTTGCGGCGAGTCTAGGTCTCTTCGCCCCTCTATTCGTAGGGATATGTGAATAAATGTTTGCATTTCTTTGAAAAAGAGGAAAAACAACTATAAAAGGATTTGAGAAGGAAATCAATGTCAATTTTTCCAGTGCCCGGACCTTCTGAGAGACCTCGTCATTTCCGTCTCCTTAACCCTATCCATTGTGTCCGTTGCTCTCCTAGTTGCTGCTATTCTTCTGTTCTCCATATTTGATTCTATTCAAGTGAGTCTCTTTATAAACGTATCGAAAAGAGAAATGTTTCAAGTTGAATAAAAGAAAAGAACTGTAACTATTCCGACAAAGGCAGCGAGCAAGGTCACTAAACTGCGAGTGAAGGAATTTTGAAAGGAGCTTATTGTTCATCACAGCCTACATTCGCTCACCCTAAACGTATGCAGCGTAGGCGTTACTTGTTGTTCTGTTATAAACAAGTGGTATCTCCCGGATACCGCCGGGCGCTCTTCCTTTCGTGTAAACGTGGCCTGTCGCTTACGTCCCCTACAAGTTTGGACGCTCTGGTACAGTAGAACAGGAGATAAAAATTCTTGATTAAACACACGCACACATACAACCGACACACTCCGTGAGCGCCTCGCCCATCATGGGAGGAGTCTGCTCAACTCATGTGTGATTAAGTGAATTGATTCGTTTCCCTCTTCTTTTTAACTTAGGTTACGCTTAGTTACGCTCACTTTACGCACGCTCGGGCCCCGCTGGCGGTGTATTGTCCTGTCACTTACCATCCGAAAGTATTCACTCCTACCAAACTTAGGCGTTCTAGACCCTAACTAATATTATCGCGCGATCCCCCACCCTGGGCGGAGTCTGGTCATGCCGCCTACCATGAGTGCTCCCATCGCGCATCCTGTGCTCCTACCGAGCTTCACAAAAACATACACACATGCACACATTCCACCAGATACACTTAGCGTATTGCACAAGTAGGATTTGACCCATGCATCCCATTCAGTGCCTCGCGTACACACTCAGCCCACCCTACCTACTACCCCTATAGCTTCCAGGTTTTGCTAATACATATAACATCTATATATGACAGTGATTTCTGATTGTGATACGAGAAGGTAGGCTGTAGAAAAAGATTAAAGGTCAGATGATTTTTGGAGGTACAGAGGAGCAGATTCAGAAATGCTTCGCTAGGGCTAACTGACATATCCCTACTCAACGAGAGAAGCTTGATGTGAGTTTACTGGCTGCATACGGATGGGAACGTGGAGGGCATCGGTGGGACCCTGTTAAATTCCATAGCTTCTGCAGCCACTGCGTCATCCCATTACAACTTTGTTGCAGATTTATGGTGTGTTTGAAGTCGTCATTGTCTGAAGAAAAATAGTACTTTAGTGCCGTCGCCTGTCTATTCACAAAAATCTCGCTACCGCTTTCGTCTTCCGCTTCGCCGTACTAGCCATTTGGACAATTGTACAATCTACGAATTTATTTAACGACTGCTCCACGTTCAATCCACAACCATTATGGAGCTGGGTACGTGATATCCGCTTTGTACTTAAAACAGAGTTTCTTGGCTGAAGTTTATTCATTATTATTATTATTCATTCATTCATTTTTTAATCTTTCGTGGAGCGTTTACTTATCGAATCATTTCAGGAATGGATTTGCAAAATGATACTTTGGTTCGTCATCTATTTCCAGGTGGTGTTTCTGTACAATTTTTTCTTTATAGGGAAAGTCGAAACGGTTCTAAGATAATGTAGACTCAACTTCTCTTCCGTTAATAAAGTGAGCGGATAGTCCGACCTACGTAAAGCTTCTCTCCTTATTGTTACAAAGGCGAAAATTTACGGTTGGTCCTATATTCGTTTTCTCGGAAGAAATTATTCGTTCTTCGCCGCAAAATTTTCGAAGAGGTGTGTTCCCGATTAGGTAGGCCTTTAAGGTTTGACACAGGGCGCCTACGCTTATTGCTAATGCTTGAGAAATCTTCCGTTGCCTTTGATCTTGCAGTAGCCTTCGTGGAGAATCTAATCGTCCCCTTAAATTTTCTTTCGCCCCTGCTTTTCAACAACTGAGTAGCTTGATTGGTAAAACGAGAAGCACTGAATAGTGCTTACTAATGTTGTTGATTGATGATGTCACGGCTAGCATAAATCAGAAGCCCATAGCTGCAGCTTTTACTATCTCATCGGATAGGAACTATCGATCGAGATTCTCAAGTTATTGATGGTCAGACAAGTTTTGTTGCAACTGTTATAGAAATTAAGGGTATACGCGGTATCTTATTGAGTTGCAAGCCCTAAGGCGTGGTCGTCGTGAGCTAATAGAGAAGTAAACCAAACTTTGTTCTCACCATACTATGCTCGCTATGATTGTACACTATCACTACTTTTTCCACCCATTTTTTGTTCCTGTTGCCCAACCCATCCAATCTTACATCTCACGCTGAATTTGTAGCAGCCTCTACTCTGACACGAGGAAAAAAATGATCCAGAGGCTTTTGCAATCGAACGTCATTTATTTGCACTTATTGATCCTTATCACAAATCATCTACAATCACGAGGAATCTCACATCACCCTTCGAATAACAACTTTCCCTTCCCTGTTCAACCTTTCGGCTTCTACATATGTATAGCACATTACCATCCTTTATCAGTTTTTATCATTTCCTGTCACCAAGTATCTATGATCCCATTACACCCCACATCACCCTTGACTACACAGTTAACACAATCATTGATAGTTCAGGTGGCATCGGTGATGTGGATGCTCATCGAAGGAGCCTATCTGTATAGTCGGTTCACAGTATTTGCAATGCGTCATAACGACGCGCCATGGTATCTGTATATGGCCTGTGGATGGGGTAAGTTAACCATGAAGTTTTTGGACAGCTACGTCAAAAACTACGTAGGAATAATTGTATAGGAAAAAGTTCCAAGTTTTACTGCTCTCATTCTTTTTCTTTCGATTCAATTCAACGTGTAGAAATCTCTACCACAACACCAACCACATTTTGCCTTTTGATATCGCGGGGTAGAAGATATCTTGTATCGAGATTGGTTAATTCCGCAAATTATAGGTTACGTTTAGGTGTCGAGTTGGATTTGTGAAGTACTCAGAATTGTTTAGTGGAAAAGCTGCAACTGAAATATTTACTTCTTTGTGCCTCAGTGACAACTGCGCCTCAGTAGCCATCCCAGACCACTCATATAATTCTTACTATATTCAATTGAATATACAGCAGATCGCTAAATAATAATCAAACATCATACAAATATAAGATTAGTTTTGGCAATCGTGCAGGGAAATTGCTGTCATTACATGTATTGGAGTAGGGTTCTGAAAAGCGAACCTTATCAGAACTACAGTTTTGCGTTTTCCCCGCGCGAATAGGTATGTGGTGTGAGCAGGACCAATTCCGAAACTCAATGTTTCTATCATGTTTTCTCTGCCTCGATTTCGCCCTCCAACGGTCAAAGTTAGCAAGCTCAAAAAATATGTTGCTCATCAGATAGCCAATAGCACTTTTAAAGCGATAGAGCCTAGTATCCATGCACCGCTTGTAGAAAAGTGACGCCGGCACACGTTATTACACCATTATGGAATAGAATAGAGCTGTATTACTTTATCGGTTTCACGGTGTTCAGCTGTAACGATCTACCCCTTTTGAGAATTAGTAGTTTTTGAAAGTAGTATATAAGAAGTTCGAGCTAATAATTGAATAATGTTATGTGTCATGCTAAATGCTAATTAACATCTATTGGTTCAAAACTAGATATTCCTGTATTACTGCATCAAGATTTTTATGCAGCATAATCAAATCGATTCATATTTGTTACGTAATCTACAAGAGGAAACGTCTGCAGGTGTTCCATTGATTGTGGTGATCTGTTGGACAGTGGTTCATGAGTACAAGTCTAGACAGCAAGGCTCATTTTGCTGGGTACCATACGCACAAGGAAGCCACTTGTGGATTCTTGCGGGGACCATGGGTTTCGCGTGGATTGTAAGTGATTTGTTTTTGGTTTTACCTTCTATAATGTCTCTATTTCATTGCTAGAGATTCTGCGGTTTGATGCTGAATATAGCTGTGACTCGTGTACGCAATGAGCCTAATATCATTTTGCCCCATAAGTTCTGAGAAGGGCCATTAACGTTCGTCTGACTAAACACTCTTTTTCACCGGGTATAATTTTCCTCATGAAAAAAAGTCCGTGCACACTTCTAGAGCAGAGTCTCAATGTGATTGTTCAGATGAACTTTATATTTCTTCTGGGAATTGTGATAATTCTCGTGCAGAAACTTCGAACGGAGAATTCGGCTGAGTCAAAGAAAATCTGGTGAGGCTTCTGATCTCTTCTCAAATATACATAAACGGACTTTTCTTTTCGTACTTCTAGTGTACCGAAGATGAATCGCAATATGCAACAGTAGTGGGCTAGGCATTTTCTCGATGTGGAGATGCAAATCTACGGATAAACGGTTCCTAGCGCCTTAAAAGCAGAAGAGAGCACTCTACGTTCAACCTATAGCGGTCACAATGTATCGCGAAAAAAAAAACTGGTTTTGAACGAGTAAACAATTTTTGGCTAGGCCCATTCATGGCATGTTCTGATACAACTCTGGAAACGTCCTTTATCTGGTGCAGGGAACGCTTTAGCTTAAATGTTGGTTAAGCTAGGAAGCGATCGTCAGAGAGACGGTGGAATAAATGCGCGAATCGAACCCGCATCTATAGAAACCTTCAGCAGTAAACTACAGTTTAATAGGTAATGTGAATAATACGTACCGATATCACTTTTCCAGAAAAAGTACAATGTGGAAACTAATTAAATTGATTTGTCTTCGTGCCGCACGTGTCAACATTCATCGAATGCCACAACAGTGACCGTTTTGGATCCCCATAACTGGGTCTGCTTGGGGATCACTTGAGAGCTCACTCTTGTCCCACTATAACCTCATTATATCATTTGTTCCTGTTTTGTTGTTTTTTTTTCTCAATTGAGTGATATCTTCAGGCGTACAATCAAAGCGACGTTACTTCTAGTACCATTGCTAGGTGTATCAAATATCCCGCTGTTCTACGAACCAGCTGAGCCAAGTGCTGTTTATATGTTGGGATCGGCTATCCTTCAGCATTCTCAGGTATAAGCCTCCATCAGTAGCTGACGAAAATGCGATTGATTGCCAATTTAACAAGCTAGCCGTCGAGCTCGCTTACCGAGGGTAGTGGAAGATTGCGCTCTTTGAACTACTCGGCGCTTTCCTTTCACTTCCATGTGAAGTGGGGAAATCTGCGCTCTTAAGAAGTTAATTACTCTATTAGCAGCCCATAAGACGCAGCGAAGCATAGACGATTTTCTGACGAGAAAAGTAGCTGCTCTTAATCCATGAGGATTACATTAGGGATTTGTCTGAAGCACGATTAGTTTGCGTCAACAAAGCGTCATAGGGAGTCATAAGGTGACAAATCGGTGGGATTTCTCCGTCCTATAATAGCTCAAGCAAAACTGGTCTCATATACGTTTAGGGAACTTATCGAGAAAAAATTGAAGTAGAGCATGCTATAGTGGTTGCTGTGATGAGCTCAGCGTCGCTATGAATTGCTCCACGTATTTTATTATCCAGGACGGGGTCAAGCCTTGTCGTAGAGTATTTGAATATTACCCTTCTCATTTTCTATTGATTACTTTCCAGCTGACTTCTTCATCCACCATACAAAAACACTAGAAGTTCTCACTACCGATTCCTTACGTATGTTCCAGTATTTCCAAATCCCTTTCTTAAAATTGGATGCGGTTACAATTTGAATGTATAAGCTTCTGGGTGTGGACCACCCCCAACGTGGCCACAGATCAATAAGACCTCGAAAAAACGCTCCCAAAATTACAACAGGAATTTTTACAAAGCCACTGGCTGACTTGCTCTTAGGAGCTGTTATTGTAGATAACGCGTTAGAAAGCATGCTCAAAATTCTAATGTTCTTTCCAAAGCTTCTCTTATAATTACTATCAGTAATGAATAGTAAAATAGCCCAGAAGTTCTAGACCAAACTAACATTTCTACAAGAAATTTTGTTTAGGGAATTTTCATCGCTGTACTCTATTGTTTCTTAAATGGCGAGATACAAAACGCCCTAAGGAGGCAATTGTCTAAAGTTCCCATAGAATTTTTCAAGTGAGTTTGTGAATATTTTCGTCTGTCCGCTGCAATGGTCAGTTTTTTATTCCTCATTGCTTCCTAAGACTGAAAATCTCTGTTAAGGCCAAGACAACGATTCGAGACGGAGCGAACTTATGTGCCAGAAAACCGTAATGTTACCAAACACGGCGTACCTATGGAAGAACTAAATGGTACGAAAAAAAACCCTCAAGAAACAACCCCGCTGAATCAGGCAGGTTATTCTTTAGGCATCCTATTTTTGTAGTTTGCTTTTTTTTCGAGAACCACAGCTGGGAAAGTGAAGTCCTGTCGGTGATAAGTAACGGAGTGTTAGTTCGCCGCTGTTTTGCGGAAGCCTGTAGTGAAATATTGGAGTTGTGGTCGAACTAATCCTGAGATTTCGTGAGAGATTACGTACTTTTGACGAATGCATCCCGAGTATGTTCATGGGCGCGAAAGGGAGGAGTAAGAGGGAAGAGAAGAGACAAGAGTAAGGTGTCAACAATGCTATCATGATATGCTATGCTCAGATCGCATTATCCTCGGAACCGTTGATTGGCCTCAGCCCCGTTTGAAATCTGATCTTCGCAGTGATTGAGTATCGTAATTTACTGTATGTGCCAATTTATTAACCACCTCGATTTTCAGTAAAGTTTGATTGCGTTTTACCTTCCGAAAGGAGACTGGGCACGATTAGCGATTTCTTCCTCTTCTGATCTTCTCTCTGAAAAGTCAAGTAGAGATTTTTAGGTCGTTCCGGAGTCACAAATATTTTCCGTTTCTACGGCACCTAGTAATCGTTCAGCAGACGAGGCCGACTGACTACTTCATCGCTGACTATGGCCAACGTACTGCCTTCTGCTAGAGTATAATCTCCAATGAAAGGGTTTATCTGTTTACTTATGACTACTTCTAAAGTATAAGGTACTGACCATTTCCCTCGTATCAGAGTTTCTTCGCTCAGACATCTTTCCTAAGAGAATTCCGAACAACTCCTTCGTGTTCTATGTGAGCAACTTCGATGTCCCAGTGTGATTTTCATTTTGGTAGTACTCTACGGGTGTCACTTTGCCAAAGAATTTTCTCGTAACGAATGGTATTTCGTAGTACTTTCTTATTTCCATGGTACCGCTCATCATACACGATGAGGCTAAATTTTGAAATTTTTCTCACAATGCTATTTTTGGTCGCTGATTTTTTGCTAGTTGTTTCTGTGTTGGTTGACGTGTGATCTCTCACTGAAAACTCTTTACTTGACGCGTATGTAACGTATAAAAGCTATTTATACACTTGTTGATTCGACGCACAAAATCGATAAGTAAACATCGAGTTGAGACATAAGCTGACGGGTTTCGTTAAGTTGAAGTTATATTCAATACTGGAAGCTAAAATGAATTTTCAAAATGTTATTACCTACACCTTTTACTACGTAGCCTGAAGCCATGCGGTGTAGACTCGCTTCTATACTTAGAAGTAGCTATCTCGCAATGATCAAACAACCCTCTCCTTTCTTTATTTTACTTTAAACACTGCTTCTGAATGGTAAAGCCTCACGGGCACAACTGCTGAATAACGCCACTTTCTGAACAGCATTGCCATCACGAGTTTTTCAAACATAGGCTCCTTCCCACTGGGATATACATAGAGGGTATATGCAGGTCAGTTGAGCTTAGGAACTACTGGCTGAAGGAGCGTAGGTCGTGCTGGGGCTCCTTACAACTTACTTTGAAGCACAGTAAATCACTATTTTTGATCGGGCCTACGATGCCGTCTAAAGCAGAGAAGTCATTAATTTTTGAACACCACGTAACAAAAAAGTCAATTAATACACTGTGCAAGTCATTAACTATTGTTTTTTTAAAGCAAACAGCGTCTGAGAGTTCGCCTAGCATTTTTTGAGAGCTAATTGGTAATAATTAATAAGTCGATATACAATAAATTCAATATTTCGAAAAGTGGCACCGTGTGAAGGCTACTGTATCTGAGCACATGATGATGTGACGAAAAGCTGGCATGTTGACGGTTGAGGTGGTTCCGAATGGACAGGCATACCAAGGTTACAGTTAGAATTACAGTCGTAACGATATGGAGCATCAAAGCAGTAGGTGCTCGCTGCGTACTGATCACAACGAGATCTTTCCTGAAATTAGCGTTTCAATCAATCTCGAACAAGACATAGTGGGAGTTCCTTCTACTACAGGAGCTCTAAAACATATTGCAATTCCTTCGTTCAGTAGAGCGGTGTAGCAAGAGCAGAATCGATACCCCATTCCCTCATACTTCTCTTAGACATCATTTGAAGGCACGGTTCACGATAAAAAAGGTTACTGAGTTCTTCCCTCAGGAATACTCAGCGCCCCCCATGGGTGGTAGGAAAGACCCTCTCGCTCCCACAATCTCGGCGTTTAGGGCATAGTGGAAGCCCCGTTGCTGCCGTAGTTCGCTTTCCTGCCTCTCGATCGGTGTCACGTTGGACGAGTGTCGAGACAATACAGATTGCTATTATTCGTTCTAGGACCCACGCACAATCAGCTACTCGCCGAGTGATGAGGCGATGTTTTTCTCCCATTCTTTTTTCCTCTGTTTTTCTTTTTGCCGCTGCGATCCCTTATTTAATTTCCTACTCCTAGAGGCTGAAAAAGGTGAGCTATTTTTGCTGTTACTAGGGTTTTTTACTTATTAATGCTTATAAGTGAATGAATTTCCGCTTACCATTGTCTTTTATTCGCACCAGGACCCACACGCGCGCAGTGAAGCACTGTTTAACTTGTCCGGACGCCCCATCCTTCATTTTTCTGGTTTTTCTCATTCAGCCCCCTTTTTGACGGCTTTTCGAAGCCTTTTTTCACTTTGGAAACACCGATGCACGCAGTTTCTTCACCTCAGTCGCACTAGTTTCGATCTTGTCGTCCATTTTTTATCATAATCTGGATTACCCAAAATTATCGTGAACTGTGCCTTTAAGTAGGTGGTACACTATGTATTAGAATAGATGGTGGTTCGCTGTCTGGGCATAATCACTGATTTCTCAACAGCGCCCTTTCGAATGCTGGCACAAAGCAAAGGCTCAGTATTTCCATGAATGGAACCCAAGTCGTGCCACATTTATAAATGTTCCAGTGGAGTTCAACATCTTTGTCTGTGAGGAGAAGCTTTTTACTTATGTATTCCGAAGTAATCTTTACTATATGTAAACCAGAAATGTTCGCCTGTTTGCCGATCTGTCCAACTGTTTGTCTTTTCGCAACCATCTTATACGCCGCCTTTTGAAAACCAGACTGGAACAGCTCAGCCAGTTTGGAACAAGTGGGGAGGAGCCGAGCCACTTGTGAACACGTGCCTCAAGCTGGGTCCCGCCCCCGAAGGGGCGGACGTGTGCGAAATGTGAAATTCATCGCGAATGTATAACTCTTGTCCTCGTGCGTCCAGAGTGTCTAATTCATAAGGTGTAGGTTCCACTCACTGGAGGCGAGGCGTGCGCAAAAATGTTTCTTTGAAGGTAGAAGGTTCGAATTTCGGAGGAAGACTCTAGCCATTCTGGAATACTGATGGCAGGTGGCAGGTGTAGACTCCGCCCACCGAAGGCGGCGCTTGCGCGAAAATGTTAAATTGTTTCTGGGGCGCTCAAATATGGAAGGGACACAGCTGGTAATTTGGCAACACTGATGGCATTGGGCAGGTGCAGATCGTGGAAATAGTTAATTCAGACCTAGGGCGTATAAATGGGTAGAGATGCAGGCGGCAGGGTGAGAGGACCAATGGCGGGTAGCATGAGTGGACTCCGAGGAGGGAGGGGCAATGGAGAAAGTGGCGAATGCGATATCGACCTATCTGGAGGCTTTCTAGATTATGTAACATTAATTCAGAAACAGCCTCCACGTATGATAGGATTTACACTGGGGGATTTTAGCCGATACACCGACATGCTATATCAATCTATTGTGTAAATGTCCGCTCATTCGCAATATTGTCTACTTTTGTTGTACAGTGTGTCCCAACTCTTAAGAAAGTTGGAGGTGGGATTGCTGCTGTAAACGTTACGATCGATAATAAGCAAGCAATTTGGAACAGTTTAATTTTGCACTACTTGTTATGAATCTGCTGCTAATTACTCACTCTTCTAGGAAGGAAAGGGAAGGTCCAATGATAGGCCCCAGTTATGTCTTCGAGAATAAAGATTTGTGTAGAACCGCTGCGCTTACTTACCACGATTTTGGCGTGAAATTTCATCAAACGAGTTAATAGCCACGGAAATGGCATGTTATGGTATGTACGTTGTCGAGTGGTACTTAGCAAATACCTACTTCGACGGCTGCGGATAAATAATATGATAGAAGGGCAAATAAGTTCTGCTTCCGCTCCAGTGGAATACAGTTATCCCAACGATGGTAAACAAGAAAAGTGGCGAATGACAAGATCTTTTCTTGATTTTTAGAACTGTCTCAGTGAATATATGGAGGCATAAACGAATGTATATAGATGGTGGTAACTGTGCTGCTAAGACGATCACTGTTCAGATTAACTCCGAGGCAACTCGTTCATTAGAAGCCAGGAGGTAGCGCATGGTATCGGTCGCAGGTCAAGACTACAGCAGATTGCAGCATAATCAATACACTGCTGCAGTGTTTTTTACCATCCGCTCTCTTCCCAGTGATTACCTTTTAATAAGTCTGGAGAGGATGGGGCACAATGGGTAGCAACTAACTCTGGCTCTGCAATTCAGAAAGCGAACAGGGGCAAAATAGCGCTTGGAATGCTTAAGACAAGAATAAACCCAAGATTATAATGAAAAATCAGCTAGCTCAAAAAAAAAAAAAACCAAAAAACCATAGCTCAAGAGTAATGGTCTGGAAGTGAATGGAGGGGCTAGAGAGCACAAGAAAACCATCTAAAAATTTCCTTATCTGACTTCAACTGGTGCTTCAGGTCTTGTGTCGTCCGCAATTTAAGGCATTTTGAAAGCGCAGGGAATTATGAGTCGAGAAGTCCAGAAGAGTCACTGATGTACTTCTAAGAACATTTTGTTCATCACAGCCACGTTCAGTTTGAAGAGGCATAAGAAAGGTGTGAAGAAGAGCATCTGTCAATGAAATCAGATGAAACCGTATAATGGAGCTTGTTGCAGTTGATTTCACCAGTACAAAATGTTGTCAAGGAGCCATCAACGGAGGGTCTATTCATTTCATTATCGGACAAAAGAATGAAGTGGCGTCAAGTATAATTGTGCACCATAATAAGTTGACAAAAGTTCTAACAACGACAGGGTAGAGGTGGTGATAGCATATGGCCCATCATCACAAACGCATGGTCACCATGATTGTGTTCGGACGATTTTGGAAAAGGATTGCCGGAGTCAAATTTGATGACTACAGGAGCAATATTGATGTGTTCGAAAAATTTTGAGAAAATTGTGCCTGTCAGCTGAGAAAGCAGTTGCTCCCGAACGCGCTAAAGCACGACAATAGCAGGGGAAGGGCATTGCTGATAGATCAATATTGCAGTGAATCGCTATTAGACATATTCGTGAGGAATAAGTGATCATCGACCAAATTAATACTAGTAGGTAATTATTGGGGATTTGTTTCGCAGCTTTTTTCCTCTCCATGCAATTCGAATGCGATGCAATTTGAATATTGAAATTGTGGTTTCTAATAGAAATAATTTTCCTGCTTCCCTTAACAGAAATATGCCTAGAAAGTCATCTTCATATACGCTGCATTATGCCCTATTACTTCGAGAAAGGTTGGTAGGTGGCACAGTCATTAAATGATAGCCACGAGTTTCTCGGCGAGGGAACCGTCAGCCAAAGACGAATAAGGAATGGAATCTGCTTCTACGTTTGCCCTAATCACCAAGAGATACTTCTATGGATTCTCATATCAATTGCCCGTTGAACAATTGGTTACCGAACAGAACTTTCGACGAAGTGGATGGCTTGATGGCTGACGTCGGACGTGGGTCGCCTAGAATAGAAATCTTCTACCTATGGAATTTGACTGCCTAGCAAATGGGAAGCAGTGCTTGTCTTAGATGGTGGATATGTCCCGGAGTAATTATTTGAACATATCTTTGCTAAGTATTTCTATCGTTTCTTTAAGTAAAACTTGCTGAAAAAAATCCGCAATAATTATGCATCAACCTAATACATGTGTGCGATCGACAAGACTACCGGAGTCTTCCGCTTCTCCATTATGAAACTGATTGCTTCGACGCTCAGACTTGGATTGAGACATGGTGACTGTTGGGCAGCAGTGCACCCCCTCTTGTCACCTACCATAAATATAACGATGGCTTCCTCTGACTGTGAGAGCAGATTTTCTTCGATGAAGGTGGCTGAATGGACGTCCACTGTCCTCACATGCCGATACTGCTTTGGCTCCCCGTCAGAGCAATTCTCCTTTAAACTTCCAGAAAATGGAGAGACAATCTCTACTCCCTATTCCATCATCAATAACGTTCTGCTCAAAAGTCACTTCCAAGAGGACTCTCTGCAAATATCGCACACTTCTTGATTGAGTAGGAGCGTCGAGCGCGATTCAGTGTGTGTTATAAGTTTCTTGACTGTAAGCAACGGCGATATCAACAACTTCATTATTGCTCAGGATGAAAAGCAAATGTCATGTGAGAATCCACACAGGAAATCGCCATGCGTAACAGTAGACATGAGGCCCAGCCCTACAAAGCGAGGCGCTTGCGCCAATAAGGACATGATGAGCTCGTTCTTCCTCTGCTCAGCCGGGTGTTTTACTAGTGGATCCTACTAGAGTTACTACGGTGGACGCAATAGAATTTTGTGAACAAATGAGAGAGGCGATGTTTTGAGCCCCCAACTGCTGGACCCACAATTTCGAAGAGCGAGATAATTTTTCCCCATCGGTGCAACGCAATCTCCGAGAATAGATGGAGGGACGTGACCCAGGAAGGTCTATCATTAGGTTGATGAATAATTATTGCGGACTTTTCATCAGCAAATTTTACTCGAAGAAACGATAGAAATATCTAGCAAAGACATGTTCAAATAATTGCTCCGGAACATATCCACCATCTATGCCAAGCACTGCTTCCCATTTGCTAGGCGGTCGGGTTCCACAGGCGAAGATGTTTCGATTGTTGGAGGCCATCACGCCTTGACAATGGCCATCAAGCCATCTACTTAGTCGACAGTTCTGTTCGTCAATCAATTTCTCAAAGGGCGATAGACGTGATAATCCATAGAAGTATCTCTTGGTGAATAGGGCGACCGCAGAAGCAGATTCCATTCCACGTTCGGCTTTGGCTGACTGTTCCATCGCTGAGATCACGTTATGAGTTGGCCGCCTTTCAACATTTCTCGAAGTAATAAAGCATAATTTGGCGCATATGAAGGTGACTTTCTAGGATAGGAAAGGAAGCTCTGTTAAGGAAAGCTAGAAGTTTATTTCTAGAATATCACGAGTTCAAAAGTTTAATTTTATCGAGAGAAAAGAAGCTGCAAAAAAAAAATCCGCAATAATTATGAATCAACCTAATACTTAGACTTTGACTGAAAACCACTTGAGTAGTAACGGTCGTTTGATTCTAGTCCTCATTCAATTTCATATGTTGATTCCATCCCTCCTACAGCTCCCATTTTTTCTATTCATATTCATTCAAAGAGCTCACTGAAAAGGTATCCACTTGGCGTGTACAGAATCCGTGCCAAGATCGAGTTGAATCACGACAAGGCCCCACGACACCCAACCACAGTGCTTCTCACCAAAGTATTATACAATAACAGTTGCACCAGAACTTTGAACCTGGTGAACAAATAAACCAGAGCCGGTTGGAACGATGAGGTGAGAAATTTGGAGGTGACGTGAAGATTTTAGACAAGAGGAGAAGAATCTTCATATATTTAAAAGTTACTCACTTTTTCTCTCATTTCTTTACGTCTCCATTTCGCTCGTCGATTTTGGAACCACACCTGAAGTTATACTACTTTAAGGCACANCACAGTCTCAGTGAAACATGAGCCCAAATCCATTTTTTCGAAGCTCCATGTTCATTCGCCACCTAAGCGGAATCTGACGTAGCTCCCTCATCGCGACTTGTTTAGATCCAAAAGGGTACGCCACGGCACGTAACGGTATAGTCGACTTTTTCCGGCGCTTTAATGTTGGCAGCCCATCTAGGAGACAGGTCCTCGATGAGTTCCACTCTTCCACTCTTCCAAAGCGATTACAGCATTTAAACGTTAGTTTATTCACTACACATGACTATCTTTCGTGAGCAAAAAACATTTCTAACATTCTGCAGACTCTTTGGAAAAGAGATCAGTAAATGGGTAACGACTTATTAATCTGTTCAGCATCACCTCACTACTGGGAAAGCCTACAACAGATTTCTATTTTCCTTATTTCAAATGGCCTGCAATAAATCAGCTTTGAGCGGGTTGATGTTCGCAACACTAACAATTGTTGTGCGATTTGTTTCAGTCGTTAATCTCGAGCGCCGTCTCGGACATCTGGGCAATATACCGTATCTCCGAGCACATGTCCAACCGTCACCATCCTCAACTTCCGTCGCTATCAGCTAGGTCCCGTGGGGGTGATTGACAATACGCAGCAAAAACAGAATAGGTAGTGCAGTGTGCTTAGTGGAATGGATTGCATCAAGGGGTTTAGTGAGAGGTTGTCAAAGCTTGGATTTCACATTCACACCTATCAAGTAGCTCCTTGTGGGCAATTACTAAAATAGAGCTCGAAACAAGTGGGACAAGAGTAATCTCCCACATATATCACATAGTGGGTATTCTGAATTTGTCTAGTCATCATTACCTCTTTACTTCAAGTATGTCTGAAAGAGCGCTGCGCGCCATTCTGAAGGAGCCTTCATGTCAAGAGTTGGTCTGCGGCGGGCTTGAGAGGTAACAATCCAAAGTTTTGCAACGCATTCAGGAATACGAGGATGACGATTTTGTTGAAGCGCTAGGCAAAATAAATGTCCCACCTTCAAAAACCTATTCAGATAGAAGCATGCAATGCTTGAAAAACAACAGATACCGAAGTTTCAAGGGAGGCCAACATGGAGTGAATGCTCGAATAATTCCCATTATGCTAGTAGGCTATAGCGCCATGCATTATAAAGTCCTTGGAACCCCGTAGCTGCGTGGTCATAAGGAAGACGAAACGGAATTTGGAACCTTTTCCCAAAATACTGTACGATGGAGGCGAACACAAAGTTAGTGAATTCCCAATCAGTAAATCCATAACATCTGCATTCGGACTGTGGGAAATAATTTTCCACATCCAAAATGGTATCATGATTGCAGCATAGCTCAAGACGAGATAGATTTTAGCAAAATTAGAAACTCAATTTCAATACTAATACAAAATACTGGCCAATTTTGTTATATTTCAGATGTTATTTTAATTATACCTATGACCTATCATTTTTTCATCTCCACGTTGATTTTGCTTGCATGTTTGATTTTTTTCTGATTATTTCCGGCGCAGCTGGAATAAGTGATCCTTCCCACTCGGTGAGAGCACGCATAAAAGGCGGATAAGGGTAATGGTTGCTCAAATATCCGGCTTGTGCGATCTAGTCGCGATCTAGTCTGTAATGTGCTGCGCAGCTTGAGCTGTTGAGAATGTACGTAACATTGGGAATACTTACTCGCGACATGATAACACAGTCGAAATCTCAGACACATGAAAAAAAATTCACCGTGATCCTATCTTCTGGGATATCGAGCTTCTCGGCCATGCCTTTTTTCGCGGTTTGATCAGGATAATGGGATTCTTGGAATGCTTCTTCCAGCACCAGCGACTGAGCTTCTGTGAAATTCGTACGGAACCGTCGTTTCAGTGCTGAGTTAGGGGATTCTGTAAATACCAGCTTTTCATTTGCACTTGTACCTGTAGTTTTTTGGAATTTCTAGGTTTCCAAAGCCTTACGTACAGTAGCGTTCAAAAGTCTTAGGCCAAATGCTTCCTCAGTTGTACTTTTCAGTCGTAACTCCTTTTCTACTTGATGTAATCATGTGAAATTTCAATATGTGTAGCATGGGTGTATTGTGAATGCAAAATCAACTGGAAACATGAATGATGGTCCTTTTGTATTGTTTCCTTTCTGCCATTTCTGAAGTGTACTAAAGTCATGCCGAACACGATAGATGAAGGGACTTTTGGAGGAGACTCCCCGTTGCTTTCAGCGAAATCTGCTACCGCAACAAAAACCTTGCTCTATCTGTGGATATTGCAGCTTTGCAGTCAAATAGTTTTGGGTAAGGTGATATATGCTTCTGTTAAACATATCCAAATTTCGAACAATTTACTCCACTAAGAAAAAAGTAATGAAAGAAAAGCCTTTGGCCGAAGACTTTTGAGCGGGTCTGTAGGTACAGAATGGTGATGCTTGGTATATGATCGTTTGAGAATATACTTCGTCAGTGAACTCCAAAACAGTGACCATCATGAAATCCTCAGTTTCAATAAAACTTCAAGGCTTGTCAGGAGGTGCGAAGCCAGCATTGAATGAACTCGATATATTGAATGTCTGTGTCAGGATAACGTAGATCAGCAGTACTGACAACCAACGTCTTCCAATCTCACTCTCAAAGTTCAATTAAGTAAAATTCAATAAAATACAAAATTTGAGGAAATTTCCATGACATGATCACTTTGGGGAAAAGTCTTTGTTAGAGTAAAACCCAAAATTCACGAATGGTGGGTGGATGCAGTAGACCGCAAACCCCTTATGAGTCCCTTAGCGTTTGGGCCGATGCCCTCCACGCGTAATTGGATGGAGTAGATTTTAACTAGAACACCCATAGCTTCATAGTCAAGAAAATTTTCCTCTATAATACATATCAAGGCTGTTAGGGTTATCTTCTGATTCTCAAAAGACTGAGGTACGTGCACCTTCTCTTACTTTCAGCTTTTTTGATACGTACGAAGCATATTTGAAGCCTTCATCTAAAAGTGATTTGTGACTGCATGTTACCTGCATGCTCAATTACCCACCACGTTAGGCAATTCTGGGCAACGAATATGGAGATTCAGTGCTCCAAAGAGTTGTTCTGAGTAGAATGTGGCATTTTTCGCTTTCATATCCATCCCCACTTCCAAAACAGCTCATAAGAAGAAAGTTTGTTCTGTTCGTCTGTGTTTTAAGTCCTCGCCTCCGAGCTGATAGCTCAGCTATCCTACGCTGACATTTTTGCCAACTTATAAGACAACTATTCGGTAAAATAGTGAACTACAAGTCGACTGAAGTTGAATTAGTATACTCAATCAATTCCAAATCTTACTGGCTGAGGGACTGTTAAAGTGCTCTCAATACATAAAAAACGAGGCAGTAAAACATACGAATGAGGCACTTTGCTAACACACCCTGCAGATGACGTTGGCATGCATGGGTCACCAATTTTACTTCTACTTTTTCACAATAGCGGATTTTGTATGATTTGATCAGTTTTTGCCTCAAACTCGCTCAAATGCTGGTGAAAAAACTGTCCGCTGACCAACGACCATCATAAATTTGATTGGACAATAAAATGCAGTCTTCATAGGCATTCCTTTTGTAATGGATCAAAATAATAAGAATAGTGATAAATGAAAGTAAAAAAAATACCGCTACGATCCGGCTTCCGTTTGATAGCCGACGCTGGTGGCTGCCTCCAGTTTCCCGACGTCGCGTCGCACATCTGTATCGGGTTATGGTAAATGCGGCTCACTGCAACCACCTGCATTTGACGAAGGGATTCTCCGCCTTCTTGCTTTTAAACTCGAGATACGCTCGTGATTCTTTAAATTTTCTCTGCCCTCCATGAGTACTTAATTTGTAATTTATCCGCTGAAAACAGTGACTCTGAAAGGTGAACTTCTTTCATCAGAGACTACACAAATTTGACAGTTTATAAATTGAAAGGGCATCTGGGAAGAGTGGGAAATGCGGCAGGATAATAGGATTCTAATTTTGCCACAAGGAGCTGACTCAAAAAATAATGCACTGCCTGAGTCAGACGTGAAGATGACCTGCGTTTTCTTTTTCATATCCATCACACAACCTATTAAGCTATGTGTCATTGGTAATTTGGGTTTTTCCTACAGCATCAGTTATTCTATTATTCAAAATAGGTTTAGAACAGTTGTGAAGATTGCGAATCATTTTCGATCGACTCCCATGGCACGAAAACGATGTAACACCATTTATGCTAATATGATCCTAGGGATCCATTTTGCAATAATTTTGTTAACAACATGATTAATGGCCGGTTCAATAACTTTGTGCTTATATCACATTCGTGTAAGTTAATTGATTTGAAAATGTATGGACGACATTTGATTAGTTATCAGCTTCAGTAATCGACGCATTTGACGCTCGGCTAACTCGTTATGAATTCCTTCATGAAAGAGAGCGATTGCATACGAATTGATACGCCTTGATCCACGAAGGTTCTTCAGCATATTGATGCCTGACAGCGGCTCTTTCTCTTCAGACCTCATCTAAAAGCCAAAATTACTAATATAATTGACCAACATCGTTAAATAGCATTGCCAATAGAAGCAGTTTTGAGGTTTTCGAGCCCAGCTTCCGTGGATTTTTGCAGGATCCCTTTTCTTTACTAATGATTAGAGCAATGTTGAGTTGGGAAATACGCTACATTCATTCCCTGGGAAGGGAAGGGGGCATATCGAATAGTGATGTTGAGCTTATGGGGCAACCCATTTTTGTAACAAAATCTGGGTAGATTAGTACTTTGAACAAGAATACGCATCAGGATGCTGGTTTTCCAAGAATCTATTAACTAGTTCTTCGAATAACACTGTTTTTGACTTGTCCTTTCTCATCTTTGAAGCGTACGTAATCTCGCTACATTCGCACATTCGCCAAAATGAATCGGCATTCGCAGATTAGATTTTTACGGTAAGCTGTGCCTGTGAACGGCGATACCCATTAATCCACGTCCACAACGGCTCTATTCTCAGATCTCAAATAGAACTATCAGCAGTCGCTAGGAACAGATTTCATCACCCTTTCACATTTTCTCCAGGGATTTGTAATGAATTTACAAAACAAAGACGAATACTATTAGTGCCTATTTTTCTTTGTGGGGAGCGCTACTAGTTAGAGCTATATGTATGTAGGAACAAAGTAAATACAAAAACGGGCAGCCTCACCCTATACAACTTATACTGCGCTCCTGATTTTCCAGTAATGCTCATACAACAGCTCGGTGTAGGTGGTCTTAGAGAAAGGTCGAATTCTTTTCTCATCCATTCTAAATAGAAAAGTATATGAAGACTCAAAGCACACGAATTTCTCACAAATATCTACCTGTTGTATAAGTTACTGATATTGATTTCGAAGGAATCGATACTGAAAATGCGATCATATCAAGTCCTAAGCTCATAGGGCGCAGGAATTCATTGAATGCTTCCACCTTACGCTCCGCTGCCCATGCTAAACAGACAATTATTACACATTGTCTTTGTAAACATGCAAAGATAAGTATAGGACTAGAATCTAATCTTGTACCTAAACCAGTATCGGAGAGAAGAGTATTTGGTGCCGTATTTAAGGTACAGAATGTTATTCGCATAAACAGCTCCAGCTTCTTCTGCGCTGACTTCCCGTACGATTCCATACATAATTCTTGAAGCATGTTAGTGGCTTGACGGTGCACGTAACTGATCATCATCTGGCATCTTACAGATAGCTTCTGAGAATAGTTACTGTTAGATATGTTACCACAACGTGATACTCAACATGATGATGGTCACAGAGGAGGACAAAGTGGTTCTAAGTGGGACCGAAGTATTTTCTTGTTGGGCAGCACTACAGAGAGCATATTCTGATCAAATTAAAATAGCAGAGTTACTGCTGCATCACAGAAAAGTTGTTCAACAACAGGATCTGTGGGAGCCTGAAGTAAGCTCCTGCTGGATTTGCTAAAGCGCTGCAAAGTGTTTACACAATCATCTAAATGGGAATTACTTTTTCTTTTTTTAGAAGTGGTAATTCTATGAACTTCAGGTGTGAAATTTTCTATTCCCTTGAATTCAACTCGGTTCAAATCTTGCAGAGTTTGAATGCCTTCCTACTCGGATACAGTACGCCCTAAACAATGATTCAGGTGATCATGACCGAGATTGATTGCAATCTGAGCGAAAATCAATTATTCTAGTGTTGGGAATCACTTACACCTGCTGAATGGTGGGAGCAACCACGGATGGTGACAACTCGATACAAGAAAAGCCACTGCACAAACGAAGATACTGGAGTCTTGAAAAATTCCAATCGAGTTTATTGAAAATCAGGGGCGTCAAAGGGTGGTAAATAACTCGATTCCCTTTTCAAACGACCTCTTTCGATGAGGATTCCTATCGAAGCCACTACTGTCACGGGGGCCCCTATTGAACTTTCTAAGTGTATACCTTTATGCCACAACCACAACCGAAAAACAAGGTCGTGGTTGTGGCATAAAAAAACTTGCTTTTTATGCATCCCATAAAGGCACAGGAACATAGTTGAGAAAGATAACAATTCGCTGGACTACTAACACCTTTGCATGAACCACATATGTAGTAGCTTCATCAACTATATGTAAATACCTATTGAATCAGCACTTTGAGCCGAAAAACTTTGGAAATACGCGCGGAACTCGTTTTTTTTCGGCTCATGCCCTGGACTACTTGGAATATCGAAGGCTACTTGCTTGATATATGTTGAAACACTTGGAGGCTTGGCATCAACTTATGTATATCTCCGATTTTTTTTTGCTCAAAGTGCTGATATAATAAGTATGACACTGACAGTCCAACTTTTGAGCTACAACTGAAAGCTCAAAATTTCATTGGCGACATATTCACTGCAGCTCGAAACGTGTTCATAGTGGAATTATAAATTGTGAATAGGATCACCTCTCTCAGCGCTGCTGAATTTTGAGTTTGAGTTGATGACAGCGACAGAGTGGAGAATGCTGACCGCAACGAACTTAATGACATGGTAGCGCCAGGTTTCTTTGCAATGTTCACTTTTGAAAGCTGTAGAAGTGCCTCAGTTCTGCGCCATAACGTCTGCAATGGCTCTGTCTTTCATACATAGTACCAGCATCCTAACAACATCATGATATGTAACTCCTAATAGCTTCTTTGAGTTCAAACTGACAACTTTCTGTGAAGAGGAAATCAATACTCGACGGCATTTAATACTTCATGAACAGTAAGTGACTCACCCGTATGAATGAAGATGTCAATTCAGGGCTTTTTATAAATCCAGCGTTTTTCAATCGTCTCGATGTGTTACTCGCTGCCATTGCAAGAAAATACCGTGAGATAGCCTCCACAGTCTTGCCCATGTCTTGCATAGCCCTTGAAAAAATGAAGTATGACACTCCACAGTAATTCGTATTCTGTGTAGATTAACGAGATTTCGAGTAATACATTTTTTAGGCTGTAGAGAAGTAAATCCTGTGATCATCCTGATACCGCATTCACTTATGCCTGCATTTGTTTCAAAAAGAGAACCTCAAGGTTATGTTGCAAGAATGAGGAGCGAGGAAGCTCCTACTTTATTTTCACGATATTTGGACTGAAATTTTTGCTTACGTACTGAGTGACATCATCAGTTGTTTCAACTCGATCCAGCTGTACGAGGAAAGTGGCAACAGCCCTTATCAGAGCACCATATTTAGCTTCACTGAGGCATATTAGTGTCAAACCTCCAATAGTGTTGCAAACGATAACGTTGACGAAATATGGAATTATCGACTTTTTCGAGCGAAGCCAGGCCTGTAATGATAAATAGGATTTACTAAATCCTTGGTATAAAACAGAGGATTCCAAGAAAACACAAGGAGTATCCTGCCACGTTACTCGATCGCCACTGCTCCTTCTCAGACACACGGGAATTTTTTTGGGACTACCAACGAATTATAAAAAAAATTGGATTTTTGGGAGGATGGGCCATCACTGGTGATTAACAAAAATAAACTAAACAATAAATAAAAATAAAATTCTTTAAATAGTGTCTACTAAAACTAAAAAAATAGGCTTTAGTTTGAGAATTTGACCACCGGAGTAGCTCTCCGTGGGAGGTACTGTCACAGGGAACGGCGGGAGTTTAAAGTCCTCGACAATGAATGGAAGCCCTGTAGAATGGAAATGCTCTCAAAGAACTGTGAGTTAATTGGACTGGAAGCTCTGCCAGAAAATTGAGAATCACATGGTGTGGTCCTGGAATGGAAAGGAAGTATGGCGGCTTAGCGTCACTTACCAAACTCTCAGCCTTCTTGAAGCACTCCCTTACCAGTATGGGTGGTATGCAAGTATCTGTCAAGTCCTCTCCTTTGCAGTAAGGGTGGTCTCCATCATCCTGAAACCCCTCTTTTGGAGATTCAGGGGTTTGCATTGGGAGCAATTGATTTGAAATCACCTGATCGATCGCCACTGCTCCTTGCTGGACAAACAGGAATTTTTTAAGACTCCCCACGAGTTATAAGAAAAATGGGATTTTTGGGAGAATGGGCCACCACTGGTGATTACCAAAAATTAAAGATTTTCTTCAAAGAGTGTCTGCTAAAACTAAAAAAATAGGCTTTAGTTTGGGAATTTGACCACCGGAGTAGCTCTCTGTGGGAGGTACTGTCACAGGGAACGGCGGGAGTTTAAAATCCTTGACAATGAATCGAAGCCCTTTAGAATGGAAATGCTCTCAAAGAACTGTGAGTTAATTGGACTGGAAGCTCTGCCAGAAAATCAAGAATCACATAGTGTGGTCCAGGAAGGGAAAGGAAGTGTGGCGAGCTCTCACCAAACTCTCAGCCTTCTTGAAGGTATACAAGTATCCATCACGTCCCCTCCTTTGCAGTAAGGGTGGTCTCCATCATCCTGAAACCCCTCTTTTGGAGATTCAGGGGTTTGCATTGGGAGCAATTGATTTGAAATCACCTGATCGATCGCCACTGCTCCTTGCTAGACAAAAGGGAATTTTTTTAAGACTCCCCACGAATTATAAGAAAAATGGGGTTTTTGGGAGAATAGGCCACCACTGGTGATTAACAAAAATTAAAGATTTTCTTCAAAGGGTGTCTGCTAAAACT